TTCTATGGAACTCAGAGATTCACCTGCCTCTGCCTCTCAAGTCCTAGGATCAAAGGAATGTGCCATCACTGTCTGGCTATACACTTTTATTTTATTATTATTTTTTATTATTAGTGTTTTGTTTATGTGGAGCCCTGACCGGCCTGGAACTCACTATGTAGACCAGGCTGGCCTTGGTCTACAAACCACACAGTAACACCCTCTCTCAAAACAAAACCGAGAACCAAACCACAAACAATAACATCTTAAGTGAAGATAACAAAGAATTTCTCTTTTCGTCTGTTTTGCCTACCAATATTTTCTGAGTCCCTCCTGTACACACTACTTATATTAAACATGTAGCCTTTAATCCCAACACTCAGAAGGCAGAGGTAGGCAGGTCTCTGTGAGTTTAAGGCCAGCTTAATGTACATATTGAGCTTCTGGCCGGTCAGGGATACACAGTGAGACCCTGTCTCAAACACAAAAACAGAACCCTGCCACAAAAAAGTGGAAGGTAAAACCAGCTCTTGAAAGGTGTCCTCTGACTGCCTCCCACCTCCCCACAGTAAATAAATAAATAAATAAATAAATAAATAAATAAATAAATAAAGGGGAAGGGGTGACCATGATTGAAACACACTGTATCAAATTCTCAAAGAATTGCCAGCCAATGATGGTGCACTCCTTTAATCCCAGCACTTGGAAGGCAGAGGCAGGCTGATCTCTGTGAATTTGAGGGCAGCCTGGTCTACAGAGCAAGCTCTAGGACAGCCCGAGCTACACAGAGAAACCCTGTCTTGAAAAACAAACGAACTCCAAGAACTAGTGAAATAGTAGGTAAATATGGATCATCATGCCTATCTGATTCCATCCACTCTCAAAAGCCTACAGTTGTGTGGCACACTAGTTGGAGTGGGGACATTGGATGCTGTGGGCACACTGGGTGGTAGCACACTGGGCGATGGGCATCAGGGAGCAGAAATGTGCTGATGCTCTGTGTTGTCCTTTTGCAGCAATTCTCAGCCCTGACAGAAGTGCTTTTCCATTTCCTAACCGAGCCCAAAGAGGTGAGTAAACCATTCTGTGCCAACATGGATCTAAAGGCCTGAGAACTTAGAGAGGAAGGTCTGGGTGCTGGCTGCTTTTACAAAGGACCTGGATTCAGTTCCCAGACCCCACGTGGCAGCTCACAACCCTCTATAATTCCTGTTTCATGAATCCCGTGAAGTATACATGCAGGCAGAATACTCATGCACATAAATAAAAAAGTCTTAAAAAGGTAAGTAAAGGTCTGTCTGTGCTGTCCCCTCTCTGCAGGTGGAGCGCTTTCTGGCTCAGCTCTCGGAATTTGCCACTACCAATCAGATGAGTCTTGGCCCCCTCAAAAGCATCGTGAAAAGCCTCCTTCTGGTTCCTAATGGTGAGTTGACTCTCAGCAGCTCCATAGAGACGCTGCTACTGCTACCTGACCCTTCCTTTAGTTAGGGAGTCATCCAAGCAGTATCCAGTAAAGAGCCAGACATGGCAGGGCCTGCACTCTAGAGCGGAATCTGGGTGAGGAGGTAAATGTCACAGCTCTTTAACCGGTATCGGTGAAATAGTTAACCACGGAACCAGTCTTAGCTGGGCGGTGGGGCAGAGAGAATGTCAAGTGAAAACTTTGGAGAAGTGATTATTTTTTGCTTTCTGATCTTTTTGTTTTGTTTGTTTTTGAGACAAGGCCTCACTTTGTAGCCCTGGCTGTTCTGGACCTTATTGTGTAGAGCAGGCTGTTCTGAAACTCACAGAGATCCACCTGCCTCTGCCTTCTGAGTCCAATTTCTTCTTTTGAGACAGGGTTTCAGTTTCCAGCACAAACTGGCATCTAACTCACCTCCTGTCTCAACTACTTGAGTACTGGAATTCCATCATACCAGCGTATGAGTTTTTTTGTTGTTGTTTGTTTGATTGGTTGGTTGGTTAGTTTGGGGTATTTGGGGAGGTTTTGAGATAGGGTCTCACTGTGTAGCCTTGACTGGCCTAGAACGTGCTATGTAGTCCAGGCTAGCCTGGAACTTAGAGAGCTGCTTGCCTCAGCATCCAGAATACTGTGATTGAAGGCACGCACCACCATGCCTAGCCTTTTATGTAGTTCTTAAAAACATCTCACTGGAACAACTCACCCCTTCCGGGAGTTATTTCACTTGCCCCTCACTTCTCACTGCTCTTCAAACTGGATTTGTTTAAAGCAAGTAGCAGACAGCATTTCATTCCGGATGCTTAGTTATCTATCTGTGAAAGATAAGCACAGGCCATTATCCGATCTGAGAGGAAATCTTGCAGCCAGTGTTCTTGGTTCCCCCTTGTGTGATGCATTGTGTTCGCTTATGGCCATTGTTCTCCCGCTCAGCGGGGTCCAGATAGGCCCCAGCCGGCATTTATTTGGCTGCTGAGGGGTGGGGCTTTCTGCACCCTTTGTTTGCTCGCTATGGAGACCTTAGTCCAAGCTCTTCACCTCTGATAGAGTCACCTTCTTCAGGGATGAAATGGAGCTGAGGGGGAAGGGTGGAGAAAGAGGAGCTGATGATAAACAGTTCAGTGGCAGAGCACCAGGCCCTGGGTTCAGTCTCCAGCACCAGGGGAAACAAAACAAAGTAGGTGGAGAAGCTGCCCTTCCGGGTTCTGGCCTGTGCAGTCTTGTCTGGGGACTTATTAAGCTGCTGCTTATCCCTAGCAAGCTGTCTGGTCCT